GGGGCGGGCTGGGGAGCGGGGCTGGTCCCGGCTCTCCCATCGCAGGGCACAACCTGCACTTTCCCCTTCCCCGCACACGGGGCGGGACACAAGAGCCCCGGGGCGTGAGGTCCCCCGGGCAGAGGCGCTGGCTGTTGAGCTGGGGCCAGCACCAGCACGGCCCAGGGCCCCGCGGCGGGCAGGAGCACCGGGCACGACCTCCCCAGCACAGAGACTTCAGCACCAAGTCCTGCAGTTTGGAAGGGAAGGTACAGATACTGATGTAATCTTTTTTATGTAATCTTTTTTATGGTATATCTAGCTTTTGCAAACTATATCTAACTGACTTCCCAGGGGATCAAGGGGCTGCAGGAGGTGTGCAGCCGCCTGCGGGAGCTGTGCCAGCGCTGGCTGGAGCCCTAGCGCCGCAGCAAGGAGCACATCCTGGAGCTGGCGGTGCTGGGGCAGTTCCTGGCCGTCCTGCCCCGGGCGATGCGGAGCTGGGAGCGGGCATGCAGCGGGAGCCCTGCGCTGAGGCGGTGGTCCTGGCCGAGGGGTTTTGTGTGGGGCAAGTGGAGAAGGACAAGCTCCAGGCGCCGTCCCCATCTCCATGTGTCTGGACACACTCCTTCCCACAGCTCTCTCCCAGTCCCTGGTCACTGTAACACATTTGCCTTGTCCCCAGGTCCCCGTGCATGTCAAGGTTGAGGAAATGTCCTCAACCTATTACATTCAATATGACAGATATGTCATTGGACAAGATGGTGCCCACTGGGGCATTGTGGGAACATCTCAGATCCTGCCTGGCATGGCCACAGCCCTTGAAGGAGGCAGGACAGGATGAAACCGCAGAGCCTCAGGACGAGCCCCTTTGGGTCCCCAGGAAGGAGCTCCTGCCCCAGCAGGACCCAGGTAAAGCACTGGATGCAGGGCAGGGCCTGGGTCTGGGGGCCTGAGTGACTGTCCTGCATTTGGGGCGAGAGGCTCAAATCTCTGTCCCTGCGACGCCGTGAGCATTTGTGACCACGTGGCTGGGGTGGGACAGGGCTCTGACCTGCGTGGCTGGGCAGCACTGGGCTGAGGGCCCCGGGCTTTCTCACTGCATGTGTGCAGCACCCAGCAGAAAGATCCCTGAGCTTGGGTGATCCCCGTGGTGCTGCAGTGGTCACATCAATGGTGTAATGGGTGTCCTAACAGTCAGGGGTCTGCTCAGCCCTTTTTCATGCCCCGGTGACCCTCTGTGCCCAAAACAGGGCTGGTGCAGGTGTCGGGGACATGAGTTTGCCCAGTGAGGTTTGTCTGGTACACTTAGCCCAGGCCTGTGTCCTGCTGCAGATCGCCTGAAAAGAGAGGAGACCTGGGAGTGGTCAGCTCATGAAGGCTCCTCAGGCTGGTGCCCCAGAGCAGGCCCTTGTCCAGGAGCAGGTAAGGAGCCGTGTTTGCACCTTTTCTAGTAGCAGGAGGCATCATCCAGCAAAGGAAAATCTCTTTGCCAGAACATTTTGATGGGGTCAGTGCTCCAAGAGGCCGGGTTTTTGCATTTTCCCAGTGCCCCTGGAAGTCTTTCACACACCTTGTAGCAGAGAGACCATGTATTTGCCTTCCCCCTACCTTTAGGTCTCTGGCTGCCTTATTCCCAGACAGGTACAGGTGAACAGCAGGGTTTTCCCCGTGCTGGCAGCACCCGGGCTAACTTGTGCATTCTCTTCCCCACTCAGTAGGTGCAGGGACCCCGAGCAGAGCTGAGGAGGAGCCTCGTGAGGAAGGGCCTGGAAACCTGGAACTACAGGGGACTCCCCCAGGGAGACTGGGGGAAGGGGGCTCCCTGACACCTGATCCAGGCCAACTGCACGTGGGGCAGGACAAACCCCCAAAGCAGAAGGTGAGGAGACACCAGCTTCAGTCGGGGTTGGGACTGCAGCTCAGGCAGAGACCAGAAGGAGCCAGTGGTGCAGGGAAAATACAGGGAGTGGAGAGACCTAAATAGTGAAAGGAGGAGGCTTCGCTGCACCCGCACCAAGCTGGTAGTAGCTGAAGCTCGCTCCCAAGTTCAGATAGGCAGGGGAGCTGATGCTGGAAGGCTGGGTCAGGATCCGTGGGTGCTTCTGAGGAGTGCTGAGAAAGAAAGAAAGCTTTTAAGACTAGAAAAACCAAGGAAGAGCCCCACTGGGTACTTGGGGATACCCAGCCAGCCCCAGGGAGCACGGGGCATTGGTCTCCATTGCTGACCCCAGCATGTTCCCCTGAAAATGGTTAAGACTGTGGAGCATAAAGGGTGACTTCAGCTGATGCCAGCAGGATTCTCCAGCACAGGCAGTGACAGCAGCTGCATGGGCAGGCAGTTTAGTAGGACTGAGCAGCACACCTAGCTGCTAGACATCTCTGTTAGTCAGAGGGGAGGTAGAAGAATGGATGGATTTGCACCTTACAAACTAACTGAATCAGAGATGCATAGAATAGGATGTTGTGAGCCCAACTCATTTCATGAGACAGTGAGAGAATATGCACAGGACAGACTCAGAGAGAGAGAGAGAGTTTTGTATGCTAAGGAGGGGAAAGGACATGGGGAAGGGAGAAAGGTTGGAGCGGGAAGAGAGCTGGTAAAGGGAAACAAGTAAAGAACCTAACTGCGAATGGAAGAGATGGAGGCGTATGAACCTTAGATGCTATAATCCATATTATCTTGCTCAGTGATGATGTCCTGTATATTGAGGAGAGAGTGCTTTCTCCATCTGGGTCCATTGCAAAGCCCAGTGCGGTGGTGAGAATGGGTGTTAGGTTGCCTGTGGCTTGAATTGTGGGGGGCTGCCTGTAAAGCAGGACAGGTTTGCCCAGTGTGGCTACGTTGGGACAGCCCTCCTTTTCCAGGCGGGGGTGGCAGTCGTTACTGATGTGTCCAGGGTTTTCAAGCTGGGGGCTGTAGGAGACAGGCAGTGGAGTCTGTGTTCCTAATCCTCTGGTTGGTATGGTAGCAGGGTGGAGCACAGTCTGAGTCTGGCTTTGCTGCTTGCAGTGACCAGACTTTTGGGGGTTTATTGTAATTGTAGCAATCCCTGCTCCAGATCCATGGGGTGTGCATCCTGGTGGGTGGGAGCCATTGAAGGAGATAGTGTTGTAATATCGAGTTTGGCTGTGGATGATGGATCTAGTGGTTTGCTCAGGGTGAAAGCTAGCTGTAGTAGTGGGTGGGTTTCTATTCCAGCTGTCCATATGATGAAATACCCTTGATGTACCTTAGATGTATGAAGGGAAAAAGTGGCAGCTGGGGAGGAAACAGAGTTTGAGTTTCTCGTGGACATATTGGCATATTGTGGGGATCATGCGTGTGCCCATGGCATTGCCATTTGTAAGTATTTCAAGGGAGTCCCCATTTCTGAACTAGTTGTGTGTAAAGATGAAGGAAGCCCATGTGTAAACAACATGCTAAGAAAGTCAAGTGAATACCAGTCCCAGTCCCCGTATACCGGCTTTATACCAGTCACAAAACCAGCTTCCCCAGCTAGACTTCAGGGCTTAGGCACCTGTGTTACCTTCTGCCAAGCAAAAGTAGCTTCAACATCTCCCACAATGAGCCCGGCTAAAGCAGATGCATTAACTCCTGTGTCCACAAATCTGTATCCACATGACATGTCAGGTGAATGCCTGGAAATTTGACACTCCTAAATAACATAGCTAAGACCCAGATCTTTGTATCCCAGAGTAAGTACAGATCAGGGCTGTGGGGGCTGGAAGCAGCCACAAAAGAAGATGCTGATGGTGTAATGCTTGTGACTTCAGCTCCGGGAGGCCTTTGAGGACGTGGCAGTGTATTTCACGCGGAAGGAGTGGGAGCTGCTGGGAGATGAGGACAAGGAGCTTTACCGGGACCAGATGCTGAAGAATTACCGAGCCCTAGTTTCCCTGGGTAAAGCTCTGTTCACTGCTTCTCTCTGGAACTGCAAGCTTTCAATTTTGTCACTGTTTCCCTGTTTTCTCTCTCACATTTTCTGTGTATGTATCCTCCTTCATTTAATCCAGCCACCATCACTTGGGTCCGCCTCATCCATTTAACTCCTGGTGCTTCCGTATTCAGTAGACTCTTGGTAAGATGATCCTCTTGACTTCGCAGCATCTTCCTATCTTTTCAAATTCATTGGGCCTACAAATTCAGTAACCAGGGGATTCTTCAATAATTCCTTGAATAATTATTCTGATTTCCTCCCTCTCTTGCCTAGTGTATCCTATCCAAACACATCTAGCAACTCTAGGATGCTCAGTTCAGTGCTATCCTTTTTCTCCT